AGAATGCTTGTTAGTATGTGGACTATTGTCTAAATAACTTGCACTAAAGACAGAAATATAAATGGACCCTGCAAGTATATTTCACTATAAGAAAAATTTTGTACAAATAGTATCCTTTATCTTTAATATATGCCTTCATAATGGAGGTTTTCAATCTGATGAGCTCTCTGGATCTTATGGCACAAGGAATGTTATTGAAGACCTTAGGTTTAACTAGATAGCAGTCTACACCTGAGGAAACAAATTTTATAGATATGGCAAAACATGAACGACTGGATCATATACATTTTAATTATTTATACAAGTATTTTCCAAGACCTTTTCAAAGCTCTTTGTGGATCTCGTATTTAGAATCTGTGATTTACAATCTACTTTGTGAACTACTGGTAATAAACTGAAACTCAATCGGTACTGTTGAGTGTACAAGGTGCATCAAATATTATACTATAATGTACTACTAACTAATGTAATCACTAAACTACAGTATCAATCTAGGTGAACACTATTTTTTGCATACTGATGCTTTGAATGTTGGATTAGGAGCAGTTCTGTGTCAGATTGGTGTCACAGCATATGCCAGTAGAATGTTGAACTCTGTAGAAATAAACCATACTACTACTAGAGTTAGAATGTCTAGCCATAGTCTGGGCTGTTCAAAATTTAAGATATACCTAGTTAGAGAAGAATTTACAGTTATAACTGACCACACTGCCTTGAAATGGTTATAGACAGCTCCAAAGTTAACTGGTAGACTGATGCATTGTTCACTAAAATTACAAGACTTAACATTTGAAATGCTGCACAGAAAAGGAAAAGAGAACCAGTTCCCTGATGCCCTTAACTAGACATCCTATTGGCCCCCCAGAATAAACTCCAGATTTGGACATCAGTAAGCCATCATCTAAACTTTTTGCCACTGTGCATGTTAACAATAGAGAACAATTGGTTACTGAACAAGCTAAAGATGATGAATATAAGCATATATACTCTTATTTGAAAACTGGACTATTACCAGAAGATTCTACTATAATTGCTGAGACTAAGTAAATCCAAACACTATATTTTCAATGACAATGTTCAAAAAGTGTTGCAAGCAGTGGTGAATTCAGACCAGTTATTCTCAAAACACCGAGACTGGCAATTTTAATTGAATTTCATGATCATCCTATGGCTGTTCATCTACATGAAAAACAATAGACAGAATATCCAGACATGGTTATTGGCATGGTATGAGAAAGAACATTAACAATTATGTATTGTCATGCCCTGTTTGTCAAATCACTAAATTTGACCAAAAGCAGCCACCTGGATTTACACAAAGCACTAAACTAATGGAACCTGGTGAGATAATAGGAATAGACATCATGGGACCTTATTCTAAGTCTAGGACAGGAAATAGTTATTTGTTGGTTGTGACAGATTATTTCAGCAAATGGGTTGAATTATATCCTCTCAAACAAATAATCAAGAAGGTGATTGTTAAAAAACTAATTAATGAATACTTTTGTAGATATGGTATTCCTAAAAATCTTGTATCTGATAATTGCCCAGAATTTGTGTCTCATTTGATGGATGAAACTTGTAAAGCTATGGGAATTAAACACATCTTTATAACTCCATATCATCATCAGTCTAACATTACTGAAAGGGTAAATAGAAACATTGGTAGAATGATATCTGCTTATACTTAACCTGAGGTAATCATTTATCTGAATTTTCTCTAGCCATTAAAACTTCTATTCATGAGTTTACATGTTATATACCAAACAAACTTCACTTGGGACGTGAAATCTTCCTTCCTTGGGACTGACTGATGAAATACCCAACAGCACCTCAAACCATTGATGAATAAACATGAGATTTAGAAGATGTCATACAGAAGGCAAGATCAAACGTTGATAAGGCTCAGAAATGACAAGCCTACAACCGTAAAAGATGCCTAGACACATTTAAAGTAGGTGATTTAGTATAATTAAGGACATATCCTTTATCTTCTGCTGTAAATAATTTTACTGCACAATTTACTCCAACGTGGAATGGATCTTTCGAAATTACAAACTGTGTTATCCCATTTGTGTATAAATTAAGAGATCCTAGATCAAGTGCAGTTATAGGATGATTTCATATTTATAATATAGATATGTATATTTCCCCAGTGACAATTCTCTTGACAGTGAAGAAGATAGTAATCTTCCTAGGCAGTTGCAGCAAAGTGAAAACGTTGGCTACAAAAGACTTGAAAGTTTGTCCCCCACAAGAAAAAAAAGCTTTACTGGTGTGTCCACTTCTCATCTTTCAATGGATCCTGCTGATGACTTACCTATATCACCACCTCAAAGGACATCGCAACTATGTTACAGAGTTAATTATTACACTTAGCTGGTCTTGAAAGTGTTAAATTTTCGGTAAGCTGAACCAGAGCCAAAAACTATAGAAGATCTAGCTGAAGATTAAAAAATGAATTGTAATTTTTGTAAGGTATCTGTACTTAAACTCAATGATTCATGATGTCAGTATAAAAAACAAAGGAGTTAAAACTAAGGATACAAAAACTTAGATATCTTATGTAAAGTGATTAATATAATCACCTTTATTTTTTTAAAAGGGGGAAGGAGTGCAAGATAGCAAATTTTTTTTATATTTTTTATGGTTATGGTTGTGTTTATTGTTCATTTATTATTTCCTTCTATTGTTTAGTTTATCTATAAATTTTTTAGTTGCATTAAAACGTTAACTCACCTTTTATGTACTCATTTGTATTTTAAGTAAATATATGTGTATGTATGATGAAATTGACATCAGATTCCTTAGCAGTGATGTACAGATACTATTAATATAGCATAAAAGTATGTAAAGTCACAATTACAAGAGTTTGTACTCTCATGACCTGCTCTGTGGATAAATACTCTACCAGTAGCTTCACTAAAAGAGAGAGTCACAAGATAGTTATTGAAGGGTATAGTTATTGGTGTTTGTCACTCGATATTGTTACTGATATTAAAATGTATTGTTTAAATATTTTAACTGCTGTTTTTTTTTTTGGAATTAAGTTTTTCTTTCTGTTTTTTTTTCCTGATTCTATTATTATTAGTATTGATTTATTAATATTTATGATAAATTATTTATTAATATTGGTGGGAAGTCCTGGCCAGGTATTTGTTTATCAACTGTGTTGAAGTTATTGTGAATGAATTGTGTTTTTGTTGTTGAACCCTCATTGTAGCAGTGTGTTCATTTTAGACTGTTACAAAGTGTGCATGTCACAACTTTTTAGTTGCATTCACAACTTAATTAAAATACTTTATTATCAATGTATGCCAATAAGCTTAGCATCAAAAGATGTTTACAATTAAAATTTTTCTATACTGTCCAAGTTTTAATTCCTTAATTCCAAAATGAAATATTTAAATACAGTCTTCACTACTGTGTCATGTAACATGTGTGCATACTAAATTTCAAATTTTAATTTTTCTTTCTACTCTTGTATATGGTTTTAGAGCCAATTAATTATAAACACATGCTATAGATACCGATAAACCAAAAAAATTATATGTCCGATCTTCTTGATTACCAAGATATCACTATTTGTAACACCCACACGACACACCCTCTTGTCTCTCTGATTTTCAATTCTATCAAACATTGCTACTGAACTTGTTAATCACAAACAAAGAGAGCAAAATTTAATGTCCTAATTTCCTTTTTTCCTATTTTAGCAGGAAAGATGACAGTTTCTGAGAAAATGTTTGTTGAATGAAGGCTCATTATTCATGTGATGTTAGGTTGCGTGATGTAACTTATCCAGATGTTTACATTAAGCTGTGTTGTTGTGATACACTGTGATAGTGTTTCACACCATGAGAACTTCTAGCATTACTCTACAGCAATATAACTAAAGGAAAGTAGATGTGAAAAGACTTTGAAGCTGATGCTGGTAGGAATCATCATAAAAGGGTATTTTTGATTTCTTTCATATTTTTTAACTTTTCATTTTATGTACTTTAATGATTTTACTACAATTAGTGGTAGAAAATAAAAGTTCATTTGTATTTAAACACAAAGCTACACAATGAACTATCTGTTCTATACCCACCACTGGAATTGAAACCCAATTTTTAGGAAGTTTCAAATGTTATGCAAATGAAATACAAAACTTTAAGACGAAAATAAGTATTTTTATTTTTAGCAAGGAAACCACCTTTTATTTAAACTGACTCAGTAAAGACTTTGTAACTTTTCATACAGATAGTTAATCTATTTATGTGCATATATATATATATATATATATATATAGTAAGAGAATAAGTTCACCATGAATGTTTCCATTTTCAGCAACCTAGTTTTGATTTTTATTCAAATTTTCAAGTTTTTGTGTTATGATACTGCCTGTTATTAGCTCATGTCATATAGATTATAGTAAGTGATTTATCTATGCACTAATTTGGAAGATTATTGTAGGACTGATACAATTTGCTAATGTTTTGTTTTCATGCACATTAAAAACTATAATCTTATTTCAAGTACATGCTGAAATAGCAGAATTAACCAACTTACTGCAACTGTACACAGTTGCTTATCAAATTTTAGTTACTAACAAAAATTGAGGTAAGAGATATTTACAGAAAATTGTTAGCCTAAAGATTAACAATGATATTTCAAGTACAAAGAAGTATAACCCACAAGACAGGATCAATGTTAGTTCACAAGCAGAATTAATTACCACTGATGCATTTGTATAGCACAGATCCTCTACGTAAACACATTGCAAGTATTAGTCACCTAGAGAAACAGGAAGAAAGTAAAAATGCAACTTCAAAGTTGAAGTTAAACATTAAAATGTGTGAATACTTTCCCTAAAAGTCACATGAAATCATTAAAAAAAGGATAAAAACACATACATGTGCATGTTATTATGAACATTTATGAAATTAAAGATCTAGTAAAATTCCTGTTAAAATAATCACTTTTTACCTAAACATTTCTATTTTTAATGTTCTAACCTGCTGATTGTCTTCTGTCTGATATCTTCCATACAATTCTGAATCATTAAAACTTGGGAAAGTATACTGTTTATGTTTCTCCTCTAATGCAGCAAGTTTCTTGTGATCTTCTTCCCAGTCTTCTTCTAGAAACAGTCATACAGTATATTGTAACATTAAACTTTTCTCAATTTTCCCAGAGACAATAAAACCAAAACTTGCTAATCATAATCCATTTAATTTACTTATGGTGAAAAATGTAAATAAAGTATGGGGAGTAATTCTTAGTAATTCCTAAAAATTACTCGTTCTGTAACAAAATTTAAGTTCTGTACAAGTTTCTTTATCTAAATTCTGAAATGCTATTTTATAACTAATGACATATAATGACCTACATTCTATCAAAACTTTCTTTACTAAAACTAGTGCATATTAATTAGTCTTATATTAAGACATCAGTTTGTTTGAAATAACCCTTTCCAGATAGGTTACAGGTGAAAGGCCATGTCATCTCGTTTGTTCACTCTCATTCTAAATTTTATAGAACTACTATTTCATGAATTATGTCAATAAGTTTGGGTATCAAACTGTAGATTATAATTCAAATTTTAGTACTATACATTATGCAATTACTAAATTTACAAGAAAATATTATAAAAAAATGCAGATAAAAATCGATTTTTGTTTGTCATGTGGTATGTT